TGGGTGTTTGTAGAATACACTTTCCTTTGGGTCAATGGATCAGAATAGCCTACCTAGACGCTGGTTCACTATCTCGTTCTCGTTTATCGACTAAAGTGAACACGTAATAGTAGTTTCAAGCATACTTCGTGACGAGCATAACACATCAACCAGCAGGATTCGAACCAAGGACTTACGGTCTTGAGTGAGAACACTTAACGTTTGGACCACTGTACCGGCCAACAGTATCCAACGATGTTATTGTCTAATTTTAATTATGTTATATCACAACAATTCAACTATATACATTCAGTTGTAATGGAATGTTATTTTTCCCTTGGTTAGATATTGTGATTTTATCATACTTTGTTCATGCACGAAAAGTTATTATCAGTGAATTCATGGTTATACATTCTTGAAACCAGCATTAGAAACCTGGAGGCACTGAAGGACGGCTGTTTCGTCCTGGTATGAGACTCCTCATGATTAACCACGTTGGGAATGCTTTGACAATGTTACATAAACAATAAAATGACAACTTTTAAAAACTTCCAAGAATATTTTGAATCATTAAACCGGAAGCAGAGAAAAACAGGTGCATTATGAAAAATATGCAGACTGAATGTATTAGGGAATTTTACAAAGTGAAAAAGATCGAAACATCTACGTTTTCACGTTTCTAGTAAACAGAATATTATTTCAATTGCCTGTAATGAAAACTACATTGTTACACGAAACAAATTGATCAGGGTTTTCAAAAGAAAACATGAATGGTTAAGATTTTTTGAAGCGATTTGTATTTTGGCAAAGAATCACTGAAAACAAAGAGAGTATGAGATCACGGAAGGCTTACAGAAGTTTCTCCGAAGAAAGTATCTTCAGATTACTATTAACTTGTTACCTAATATTTCGTTTACCCAACTTGCTTGATATAAATTAAGGTAGATAGATAGATAGATAGATAGATAGATAGATAGATAGATAGATAGATAGATAGATAGATAGATAGATAGATAGATAGATAGATAGATCAATAAATAACCCTGCTCCATTTAAACACAATAAATCTGCATAACATGTACATTGATAGCTTTATAGTACGTTTACAAATACTTTTTTTTAACATTAACCAATAAAACGTGTACATAAACATTTTATTTATGATACCATAATAACAGTTTATGCATTAATCATCACTGCTTAAACAAAAAAATACAATTCAGACTGTATATTTTACTTTTTAAGAAAAGAGAATCTATGTTTATGTCATTTGAATAGAATTTATTGACTAATTTAACAAAAGACTGTAAACTATACTATTTCAAATGGACTGAAACTTGTGTACATTGGATAGACATGAGATTGATTAATGATAACTTGAACTAATTTTCATTGTTTAACTAAATGAAAATATATGAAAAGGGTTGTGTAGAGTGTTGAGTTAATTTTTGTTAAAGCATGCATCGATCACTATTAGAAACCTGGAAGCACTGAAAGACGACCGTTTCGTCTTGGTATGGGACTCATCAGCAATATGCATCCACGACTCCTGCACCTCACAGGATTCGAACCCAGGACCTTTGATTTAGCTCACGATCGCTTAACGTCCGGACCAGTATCTAACGCTGTGCATGTCTAACTACAATCAATCCACTATCTTCCGCAACCTCATCCACTGTGTTCGGTGAGTACTGCTTCACACCCGAATAGGGTTGAACTCCACTGGTCATGATTTACCCAGCGAACTCCTCATGGAGCTAGTCATTAGTGAATACATGATAACTTACATGGAAATGATTGATAAAAATTTGAATGAATAACCTTAATTCACTAATGTACAGATAATCAGTTAATATAAGGAATTACTGTTCTTTAAGATAAAGACAGCTAGTCATACAAAAGTTGATCGAAACTAACTGGTCCGTCCACCTCAAACATCAAATATGCAACCTTGTTTAGCTGCGTCATTTTAATTAGTTTGAGCAGTAGACCTAATTTAAACACCAATTTTTTCGCCGTCTAGATTACTTTTCTCTAATTAGTGATTAGACATAGTTTTAAATGAAAATGAATATCGGTCAGTGCAAAAAATGAAAGGTGTAAAGGTATTTAAAAATGGCTTCATTAAACATAAAATTGCATTACGGGGTTGTGAAGATCGTTAAGTTACATATTTGAAATCATAAATCCAGAGGTTAGGCGTCTACGCACAAGACAGAAGGTCCTGGGTTCGAATCCTGCAAGGTACACGAGTCGTAGATACGCACAGCTGATGAGTCCCATACCAGAACGAAACGGCAGTCCAGTGCTTCCAGGTTTCTAATGGTGATCTAACATTGGTCGGTTCATGATTTCAATGAAACCAAATATTATTTGTGGAGTCCTGGTGAGGAACTAAATACTAGGAAATATTAAATCACAAAATTCGGCCTTTGAATTTCTCATTGAAATAAAATAGATAGGTCATTCAAAATGAAAATTTGACTGACTGAAGTTCCAAATTTCGGCTCAGTGGTCCAGAGGTTGGGAGTTTGGGCGCAAGACCGAAGGTCCCAGGTTTGAATCCTGCGAGGAGCAGTAGTCATGTATGCACACAGCTAATGAATCCCATACCAGGAAGAAGCAGCCGTTCATTGCTTCCAGGTTTCTAAGGTGGTTCAACATTAACATCGTTAAATACCGACTCAGTGGTTCAGATATTAGGTGTTCGCTCGCAACAATCAAGGTCCTGGGTTCGATTCTTGAGAAGTGCAAGATTCGTGTACGCTCACAGCTGATGAGTCTTGTAGTTGGACGAAACTTGAGTCCACTGCTTATGGGTTTCTAATGGTGGTCTAACATAGATCGATTTATAATTTCGAATTTTGAATATGTTATCATGACACTAACTTTTTATTTTAAAAAAATCTCTTGTGTTGTACAATTATTTATACAATCAATAAAAATATGGGTCATTTTACAGAGTAAATTATTATGAATTGAAGTTAATTATTTTGACAAACATCGGTAAGGCAAAAATAAAACCGATCAGATACGAGAAAATCTATTTCACTGTTTGCTCTAAATATGAAATCATCAATCAATCAGTCATTGTTAGACCACCATTAGAAACCTGGAAGTACTGAAAGACGGCCGTTTCATCCTGGCATGGGACTCATCGACGTGCAGTGCGCATCCACGACTCCTGCTCCTCGCAGGTTTCGAACCCAGGACATTAGGCCTTACGCGTGAACGCTTAACCTCTGGACCATTTGACCGGCCTCCTACGGTGCTCATGCCTAACCCTGATCGATCTAAGGGTTTTTTTGAAGGGGATTGGTGGAGATTATATTAATTTCATTGGTTAAAATCATGAACTCATTTAAGTTAGACCATCAGTAGAGACCTAGAAGCATTCGATGGTCACTTCATCATAGTGTGGGACCCAGCAGAATGTAGTTACTACATTGGCACGCGTGAATCGAACCTACATGGGATCAACCCCAGATCTTAAGGTCTCTCAAAGGACGTTTAACCCTTAGACCACTGAGCTGGAATTATATATATATATATATACATATATATATATATATATATATATATATATATATATACATCGAAATCATCACTCAGTCATTGTTAGACAACTGGACGGCCGTTCCGTCCAACTATGGGTCTCATTAGCAGTGAGCGTCCACGAATCCTGCACCTCGTAGGATTTGAACCCAGAATCTTCGGCCTCGCACGCAAACACTTAACCACTGGTCCACTGAGCCAAAATCCAACGGTGTTAATGTCTAATTCTGATTGATCTAGAGATTTTGCGCAACTCCACCTATTTGTCTTTGGTAGTGTTATTGCCTACACCCGACAGAGCTGAACTTCATTAGTTATGTCTTCTCACTCCAAGAATTTCCATGTATATATATATATATATATATATATATATATATATATATATACGTGCTGCTAATAATTGTCTCCTCAGAATCTTTCTGTAAACATATCAATCAATTCTATTAAAGTTATATTCTCTTAAACCTGTAGTTATTTAGTTCCCCTTGTATTTTTTACATGACATATCATTCATTGTCCAATGATAATGAGTGCCATCATTTAGCACAATATTCTAACTCTTAAAGCACACAGATTCCATCAATTCAGTTGTATCAACCAAGAAGTTGATGGGTTTTCCTCATTTTCTTCTTTTTTTTGTCTCCTCCTTTTTCTGTCTAACTTTCACATTGTTCCGCCGCCCCCCGTCCCGCCCCAAAATTGTCTGTAAACTTTCTTCCCCTTTTTTCCTCTATATAGTGTTGACCTCTGTTGGCATACAAATATTACTGTGAGTGTCTACACATTTCCTCTTGCTACGTGTGTGTGTGTGTGCGATTTCCCTTCTTTGCCTAAAATTCGATCCACACACATATATAAACAGATACACATATATTTATTTTTGTACACAAATCGCCTAGGCATAGCGGCACAATTTTCATTTGCGTTTCAGGCAAATTTTTCTAGGCACAATCAGAACAGTGCTTGTTGTACAGTGCACACCTTAGTACACACCTGCGTGCACATACCTGCACACACACGCACGTATAAAGGCAGATGAACAGTGAGAGACAAGAACACTATTGACACAAGTAGAAAAAAAGAGATAGAAAGTTTAGAGAGATAGCGATATACAAATGTGGTGCACCGAGTAGCACACAGTAATAATAGTTGGTAGAAAAACTGAAATCCTTTGGATAATCAAAGAAAAATTATCAATTTATTTAGTCCAAAAAAATATTGTTGTTCTAGTTAATTATTGACAATTGAAACCATTGAACATGCAATAAATGTGTTCAATTTTCAATGAATAAAAAATCATCAGCCGACTTGATTTTATCTGGAATATTTAAAGCTCGATATTATTATTGATAGATTGAATAAGAACAGATAATTCATTCAAACAAAACTGTTATATTATAAACAAAAAAGATATTTATTGGAACATTGAAACACATCTTGTTTATTGATAACAATAATTTTTCATCATGGCATTCACACAAATTGGATGTTCTTCATTGTATAACACTGGACGAAATGCTTCACCGACGACAACAATCTCATTAAATAATGATGTGTCGTCTCATATTGGTGATGGATTTTTAGTAAGTAATGAATTATTCGTTATTTTTTTTCTGTCTGTGATAAATAATTATGTTTTTGAATACTTGGTTGTTTACACTCATTGACTGTTATCTGTCATAAATAAAATAATTACAGTTATGTTCAGATAGCTAGTCATCGCGAGAGTTTAATCGTGTAAGGAATGAGACAGATATCTCTCAGAAAACAATAGTTGAATGAATGATGACTTCATATGTTGTACATTTAATCAGACTAACGGGTCCACAGTTCGATCTCAAATGGAAGTGTGAGTATGTATTAGTTTTTTTTGAGTCCTAAATGCTTTGATAAACATATTCTCGTTGACAAACACAATTTACTGTACAAAAAAGGCTCGATTTTCAAAAAAAGCCATTCAAAATAGTCATTTCCGGTCAGTTGAACCTATCACTTACTTACTTACTTACTTACTTACTTTCGCCTGTTACCCCCAATGTATCACTCACCAGTTTTCTCTAACCAACTCTGTCCTGGACTTCCTTCTCCAGTTCTGTCCAATAGTTGTTCATTTTTTCTCATATCTTTCTCTATTTCTCGGCGTAATGTGTTCTTTGGCCTTACACTTTTCCTTTTACCTCGAGGGTTCTAAGATCAGAACCATTTACTTTTTGAAGATTCCAATGTATATTTTAAAACTCAACTCAGATCAACTAGGCAATGTCGAATTCATCCACTAAGCAGATAGATTAATAAAGACTGAGAAAAATGTATTCCTCATTATTAACGGTCACAACTAGAATTAACTTTTAAAATTAAATTATGTTCATATTTTTTTTCAGTTTGAGTTATGGAGATCAGTGTTTTTACACGTTGGACTGATCGGTCAATCCATTGTTAGACCATCATTACAAACCTACAAGCACTGAACGACTTATCTTTAATACTCATCCACGACTCCTGCACCTCGTAGGTTTTGAACCCACGACCCTCGGTCTTGAGCAGGAAAGCCGAACCTCTGAGTCACTGAGCCAGCATCCAACAGTGTTGATGCGTGAACCTCACATATTTGTCTGAAGGTTATGTATAAATAATGTATTTAGCGTTTTTAAATGACTGCTGAAGTTGTTTGAGAGAAGATCAGAATATCAACAAAGCACAATGGTGTTTTGAAAACCTTGAATGTAATTTTCAAAGATAAAAATTTGTTTATCAAAAATATGAGGAGAGAATTTTTGTTAAATTTCAAAATTAACTTTAATATTGACTAATAAACAAGTTACACAGATGAACGTAGACATTTCAGAATTTTTGATAATTTATGGAGATCAGTGTTTTTACGCATTGAAATTATCACTCAGTCATTGTTAGACAACTATGAATAACCTGCAAGCACTGAAAGTCGACCGTTTCGTCCTGGTATAAGACTAATCAGTGGCAGTGCGCATCCATGACTCGTGCTACTCACAGGACTAAAACCTAGGACCTTTGGCCTTGCGCATGAAAGGCATTACCTCATTGTGTGAAATTATTTGTATTTAAGATTCATTCATCAACAAAGTAATTATATATGTAGCTATCATCACACTCTTGTGTCAACTGACTACTTATTATCTGAATTAATGCGAAATCTGTGCGTTATAGACTCATATGTTAACATGTATAGGCAATTTGAAGACTTTTGAAAAGGTCTACGTTTAAACAGAATATCAATATATAAAAACGTGGTAAGCTGTGGAATCCAGGACTCGTTAGCTAGAAGCACTAGCACCTCAGTGTTAAAATTTACTTAAAGACTCAAACCTAGTTTCAGAGTGAACAACAACTCTGAGATGTAGAAATATCCAGCTACAATCGAGTCCAAATTAGGATGAAACATGTGTCCTTATGTCATTCCGCATACCGATGCTCAAACGCCAAACATAACTGATCATGTTTCAATCAGAATATCAACAACAGTATAATAATCTTGATCATTTCAAATTGAATGTAGTTTATGTTTAAAGATGATTGGCTGATAAATGTTGTTTTAATATACTGTTATAACTAGTCATTCTTTAAATGTTCAATATTTTGTTGTTTAAAATAAAGTCATTTCTGGAATAAATTATCATCCATTATGATCGACATTATTAAAATTACTTACTCATGACAAAATTTTCAATGTTTGTTTTCATCGTACAACGTAAAAATTGTTTTTAGGCAGAGTTTTGGACGTTTGTGTTTTTACACATTTGAAATCATCAATCAATCATTGTTAGACCACCATCAGAAACCTGGAAGTACTGAAAGACGGCCGTTTCGTCCTGGTATGGGATTACTCATCAGCAGTGCGCATCCACGACTCCTGCTCCTCGCAGGATTAGAACCCGGGACCTTCAGTATTGTGCGCGAACACATAACAATCGAACCACTGTCAATCTTCATTTTGATAAGTTCATGAGAAACAGCTCATCATGAATACTAATGCATAAAGATTAAAAAATTAGTGCTCTGTAAGCGAAAAATCAATACACAAAATCAATAATGGCTCAGTATTTTAAAAACATGTTAGCAGTGGTTCAGTTCAATCTGTTTAATTCACATATAGTTGAATATATATACGCAAATATTAATAAACAGAACATATAATTTATAATATTTTCCTCCTTAAAAAACAAATAAGTAGTATGTTCATACATCCACAAATCTATGTTATCTATTGAGATTGAGAAGTTTAGTCAGTCTTCATTTTATCGTCTCATCAAATAAATAAACTAAGTATAGACTAGACCTTGATCTTCAGCAAGCCAGATGAAGGAGTACGTGTAGTTTTCGTGAATAATAATAATAATAATAATAATAATAATAATAATAATAATCGGTGTATTACGGGGTTGTGAAGATTGTTAAGTAACACATTTTTGAAAGAAACCATGAACGATCAATGTTAGACCACCGTTAGAAACCTGGAAGCACTGGACGGACGTTTCGTCCTGGTGTGGGACTCATCACCAGTGCGCACCCACGACTCCTGCACCCCGCAGGATTCGAACCTAGGACCTCCGGTATCGTAGGCGAACGCCTAACGATCGGATCACTGAGCCGGTATCTAACGGTGTTAATGTCTAACTTGATCAGTACACGGAGTTGCGCAACCTCATACACAGTGTTCGGTAGTTACCGTCTACACCCGAACAGGTCTAACATTGATCGATTCATGGTTTCAGAAATGTGTAACTTAACAGTCTTCACAACCCCGTAATGCGAATTCAGACATTAATTAAAAAAGTATAGAAACAATTGGTCATCTCTCTAAAGGAGCCAAAGCAATTAAATCAGAGTTTCGTGATTCCGTTGAGCTGACTGGATCAAATACACCAAGACTATACCCTCTATCAAAAATTCATAAATTGGGTCTTTCGCACCGCTCAGTTTCAGATATACACAATGCTCCTTACCACAAAATCGCAAAGTGCCTAGTGCAAATCTTAAGGCACCAGTCATGAGAAAAAGCATCTTAGACGCTATCGACTTTATTTCCACAATGAAAAACAAGAGTGTTAGTACGAAAATATGATCTCACTAGATTTTATATATTTGTTTATCGACGTGACACTAGTCAAGATGATAGAGTATATATATAAGCAAATATCAGAAAGCTAAAACAATATTTACTTTCTTCAGGATAATCTGAAAGAATCGCTCTTCTGATGTATGCTGAACGCCGATTTTTGTCCTCAACAATACTTATTAAAGATAAGTAAATAGACTCACCTCTAAGCCGAAATTATACTGGGCTTCTTTCTAGCAAAGTTAGAAAATGAACTACTGAATGAAGCTGTCAAAAAACTAGGTTACTACTAACGCTACACTGACGACACACATTCATTATCGTAGATCAGAATATTAGTAGTGAAGAACTCTTAGAACAGTTCAACAATGTACTCCAAGCAATCACTGTTATAGGTAAGGACGAGTGTGAATTTCGTTGACATTTCGAATAATGGCAATAGTAGTAGTCGTAGATGCACACTGCTGATGAGTTCCATATGCGAAGCTAAAACGCCCCGGTCCAGTGATTGTTTGTTTCAATGTGTAACAGCTGATACTATTGAAAAATAAAAAATTTCAAACAGTTTCTTTAATAGTATTTTTACATTGTATTTTATAAATCAACAATCACGTATTTCCACTCAACTTCTAAACGATATTTTAATGAATGTCTAACTGATAAATCAAATCTCTCAACATCTAAAACTACTTTTTATTTGTTAAATATCGAATTTCAGTTAGGTACATCGATTACTCCTAGTAGGAATAAGCTATATTTGTAATAAGACTACTGACAGGGATTAATATTTGCGTTATTATTCTGAACTAAACACTGGATATTAACTAAACAGTCTGAAAGTAGGATGGTTAGCGTTTTTTTTTTGGAGAGTTAGTTTTCCACAACGGGATGTGGTCGCCAACCCAGAGGAGCTCTAGGTAGTATACTCTGAATATCAGGGATCACAATTCTAGATTCATACCACTTATCTGTATGTAACTGTTTCTTTCACTGAATCACTTCATCCTAACTGAATTTTCACTGATTGTTTAGCCAAACTCGATCAGGCATGTAAGGAAATAGTCGAGTTTTACAAAACGTTTATGTAGTAATTTTTTGTTCAGTCAATCCCATTCAGTCTTGCCTGAATTCGTCCGAAATAAAATAAAAATCACGCAAATTTTAATGGCTTTTTATGTCTTTACTCCCTCACCACTTCACCTGTACACTTGTTGTATCATTCATACATAATTAAAATATTGTTTCATTTATCGTCGTACTTAATTTCCATTTAATTTTTTTTTTCTCTGGTAAATTGTCTGAAACAATAAAAAATTACATTTTTCATGACTGTACACTTACAAACAACTACACACACACACACACCGACAAACATTTGAAACAAAACTACTTATTAACTACTTTACGAGTAATTTATGCATCTTTGATATTGATATCATTATTAGTACTATTATTACTATAATTATTTAGACAATATTTATCACTACTACT